GCCAAAAAAAAAAAAAAAAATTAGAGAAAGACCTATATAATTTGTTTTCCATTTATTACAAGAACATTTACTGTACAACAAGGAACTTTTGACTTTAACAAAAATTAAATAATCTATTAAACAAAAATAAATTACCTGAGTGCTCAATAAATAAAAATGTAAAATAAAATATTACTTGGTTGTTTAAGTGCAACATGTGAATTACAAAAATTATGTGCTCATCATTTAAAATAAAAACAAAAACAACCCGAGACCTGAAAACAGACCTGTGCTTAAAATGTCAAATTCTTTTTCAAAAAGATTAGGATGTCTACATTTTCTGGGCAGAGAGTAGACCTTTTAGCATCATCAAACTAAAATGCAGTCAACCAAACATAAAAGCTACACTGTTTATTTTAGGTACGCTGTAAAAATCAGCGTGCAGCGCCCAAACAAACATTTTTGCGCATGTGAAAGATTTTACACGGATGTTAGAACATGAGTGAAGTATAAAGCCTTGTTTAGGCTACATAATGAATAATAGTTATGCAAACAAATGTAGCAAAAATGGAAACATTTGGATTCTTGTGTTATGAGACAGGCTCGTGAGCCCAATGCCGTTTCAGTTTTGCTTGACATTTGTATGCTGTTTATAATGAATGCCACTATAGCCTAATTTGTGTTTTATTTTATGGTTTAATATATAATTTTATAACTACTTATTTTTCATTCTTGTTCTGTTCTGAATACCGCTAAATTTAAAATATTTGTTGTTGACTGAGGAAATATTGTTTATATTTACCAGTATTTTAATATACATATAATAATAATAATAATTAATTACATTTATATAGCCCTTTTCTAGGCACTCAAAGCGCTTTACATTGTGAGGGGGGATCTCCTCGTCCACCACCAGTGTGCAGCATCCACCTGGATGATGCGACGGCAGCCATAGTGCGCCAGAACGCCCACCACACACCAGCTTACTGGTGGAGAGGAGACTGAGTGATGAAGCCAATCAGTAGATATGGGGATTGTTAGGAGGCCATGATGATTAGAGGCCAATGGGCAAATCTGGCCAGGATGCCGAGGTCACACCTCTACTCTTTTCGAACATCCTGGGATTTTTAATGACCACAGAAAGTCAGGACCTCGGTTTAACGTCTCATCCGAAGGACGGTGCTTGTTGACAGTATAGTGTCCCCGTCACTACACTGGGGCGTTAGGACCCACACAGACCACAGGGTGAGCACCCCCTGCTGGCCTCACTAACACCTCTTCCAACAGTAACCTTGTTTTCCCAGAAGGTCTCCCATCCAGGTACTGACCAGGCTCAGCCCTGCTTAGCTTCAGTGGGCAACCAGTCTTGGGCTACAGGGTGATATGGCTGCCAACAGAGAAGACACATGTGAAGGATTTTACACGGATATTAGAACATGACTGAAGTATAAAGCCATGTTTAGGCTACATAATGAATAACAATTATGCAAACAAATGTTACAAATATATGGCAAAAATGGAAACATTTGGATTCTTGTGGTATGAGACAGGCTCGTGAGCCCAATGCCGTTTCAGTTTTGCTTGACATTTGTATGCTGTTTATAATGAATGCCACTATAGCCTAATTTGTGTTTTATTTTATGGTTTAATATATAATTTTATAACTACTTATTTTTCATTCTTGTTCTGTTCTGAATACCGCTAAATTTAAAATATTTGTTGTTGACTGAGGAAATATTGTTTATATTTACCAGTATTTTAATATACATATAATAATAATAATAATTAATTACATTTATATAGCCCTTTTCTAGGCACTCAAAGCGCTTTACATTGTGAGGGGGGATCTCCTCGTCCACCACCAGTGTGCAGCATCCACCTGGATGATGCGACGGCAGCCATAGTGCGCCAGAACGCCCACCACACACCAGCTTACTGGTGGAGAGGAGACTGAGTGATGAAGCCAATCAGTAGATATGGGGATTGTTAGGAGGCCATGATGATTAGAGGCCAATGGGCAAATCTGGCCAGGAGCATATAAATGACATAAATTAATGTAGCCTAATTGTTTGCGATTACAAGGTTAACGGGTGTTTTTGGAGTAAGATCAATCCTCTTTTTGGCCGGGTTTTGTTTCTCCGTGTCGTAAACTCTAGGGGCGTGGCTTCTACACTGGGGTGTTTTTAGGGGCGTGATATTCAAATGACGATTGTTTTCTGCCGCCACATTTATCAACATACGATCATTCGTACGATGAGATTGGCGGCATACAAATGTTTTATGAATCACACGTGAACTCTGACGTAAGTTAATTTGTGCGCACGGATCTGCGCTCGTTTCTACGTTAGATTGATAAATGAGGCCCATTGTCTCCTGCTGTGGAGAACACCCTTTCACTAGGAACTGAAGTGGCTGGCACAGCAAGGTAGCGTCTTGCCATCTTCGCAGTGTGAGGGTATTTATACTCATTGCTTTTACACCATGCCAGTGGATCACCACCATCCATTGGCATGCTGCTTGCTACCCTGTAGGATGCCACCTCCTCTTTGCTGGTGTTGGCAAAAGTCTTGTCTGTGTCTGACTCCTTCACAAAGGTGTCCCCAAAAAGCTCCTCCATTGCTGACTTCTTTTGTGGAGGAGATGCCTCTGGCTCTGTGTCTGCTCCAGTGGGTGTTGGCTCTGTGGCTTGACCCTGCAGGAAAAAAATGACTGATTAATTTAACTATATTTCTTTTCATATTTCATAATCAATAACATTTGCCAATATTATTCAAAATTAAAATGGATGATTCTCATAACAATACCATAGACTAGACTGCAGTATTATTAAAAGTAATGCACACTTCATTTATTGTTATTATTACCTCTTCAGCGGCCACAGTCTCAATGGTGAGATCACTGTATGTCCTCTCGCGTAGTGCAGGTTCTAGGTAAGTCAGGGACTTGAACCTTGCATCAAGTGCAGTAGATCTATGAAGATAATCTTGTATATCTGGGGGGTTGGTGTATCTGGAGTTCAGGTCCTCTCTAATGGCACCCTTGACCTCTCTAGTACTGGTGCTGTCTGCCTCATTTGCAGCCATGGATTGCAGAATCCTGGTTTTCAGAGGTAGGATCATGGACACAGATGGTGCATTTTCAGTGCTTAAGAGGGTTGGGACTGTTTTGAGAGGTTTGAGCACCTGGAGGACCTCTTCTGCCACTTTCACATCATCATCAGACAAGGTGACAATGCCTCTGATATTTTTTTTTCAGTGTCTTCTCTGTCAGTGCAGAGTATACAGATGCCTGCTGCTCAAGATAGCGGTCCAACATGTCATAAGTGGAATTCCATCTTGTTGTGACATGTATGAGCTTGTGGGCTGGTAGCTGTAGCATTTCTTGCTTGGGCTTAAGCACATGAGCTGCTGTTGTGCTTCTGTGGAAGAAGGAAACCACCTTCCTGATCCTCCCAAGAATGCGGTCCATCTGATTCACAGAGATTCCCCTTTGGGATGCTATAAAATCACAGATCAACTACGATCCGTTTAACCACTAGTGTTCACTACTCACTACTCAGTGAATTAGACCCACTGTCTAATATACATTTACAAGCATAAAAAGCAGAGGACCTAATACTGAGCCCTGTGGCACTCCATACTTGTGTTTAGCTGCATTTCCATTACAGATTTGCGCAAAACATTTGCAATATTTTATAAATGTCGATAAACATCCTATTGCAAACTGGCAACGTTTCCATTAACCGATGTAATGCGCCTAAAATGTAAACTGTTCCTCTCGTGATAAATCATGCCGACGTTTGTTGGTAGGTTTATGTATATCACAGCCACCGCACTAGCCATTATTTTTAATCAAAGGAGATGTAGGCGTGTATCTTAAGCGAAGAAGCGCAGAGAGCCGCTCCACAAGCATTGACTAGAGTGGCTCCGGTGGCCGTGTCTAAGCCGTCATGCACCGCAGATGAGTGCTGTGTAAATAAGTGGTTATCTAAGCAATAATTGCAAGAAAAGCCCATTATACTTGAGAGCAGCCATGTATGAGGTGTTTCTTGGAGGTTATAGTACATTAAAGAATGATCACATGACTTTTACGTACGCCAAGTGACCTGTAAATGCCCAAAAAAACCTGTTAAGGCAAAATATTCCTTCAAATTGCCTGAAAAACCACCTCATGCGAGCGTATAAAAAATTTAGCGATATGAGTTTTTGCATAATTGACACATTTCCATTGGGCGTATTTTCAATTAGCAATTTCAATTTGCGCAATTTGAAGGGAAAAGCAGCTTGTGATGAGATGTCTCTTTATGTAGAAGCGGTCATGTATATGAGACATTAACTAATTCTTGTCCACAAATACCAAAATAATTCTCAAGTTATCCGAGAGAATGTATTGGCCTGTGTTGTCATAAGATCTAATAGCACCTGAAGAAATGACCATGATTATATGTGTAAAAAAAGAGGTAATTTGTACCTTTTAATAAGCACAGTTTCTGTACTACAATAGGGCTTAAATACTGACTGAAATTGTTCACAAATACAGTTTCTCTGCAAAACCGAACATAGCTGAGAGGACAATACTTTTCTAATATTTTAGATATAAATGGCAAATAAGGGGTTTGATAACTTCCAGCTTGAAAAGTATTTGAGACATTACAACACCTCTTTCAGTAGCTTGGTTGGTGGTATCTAGCATACATGTTGTTGGTTTTTGATGCTTTAAATGTCTTAAATGTATTGATGTCTGTTGCTTTGTGGCATTAAAATGGGCTTAACCTGAATTGGTCTCTTTTTGCTTTAGACTTGATGCATAAAGAGGAGAGTCAAGAACAGAATGAAATGGAAGACAAAGATCAGTATGAGAAACATCATGATTTAACTAGAGAAAACTTAAGTTGCTCACAGACTAAGAAGACTTCTTCACGAAAAAGAGCTAAAAAGACAGGAGCTATAAGGTATTTCACCTGCCAACAGTGTGGAAAGAGTTTAACAGGGAAAAGAAACCTTGAAGTTCATAATAGAATTCACACTGGAGAAAAGCCTTACACCTGTCAACAATGTGGAATTAGTTTCACTCAAAAAGGAATCCTTGAAAGGCACATTAGAATTCACACTGGAGAGAAGCCTTACACCTGCCAAGAGTGCGGAAAGAGTTTCACACACAAACAAGCTCTTAATGCCCACATAAGAATTCACACCGGAGAGAAGCCGTTCATATGCCCTCAGTGTGGAAAGAGTTTCTATCAACAAGGAGAACTCAAAGTCCACATGAGGATTCACACTGGAGAGAGCCATTTCACCTGCAAACAATGTGGAAAGAGTTTTACTAGAAAAGGAAACCTTGAAGTCCACATGAAAATTCACACAGGAGAGAAACTTTTTACCTGCCAACAGTGTGGAAAGAGTTTCACTCAAAATGGAAACCTCAAAGCCCACATGAGGATTCACTTAAGAGAGAACAGTTTTATATGTCATGAGTGTGGAATGAGTTTCACCGACCGGAAACAGTATAAGAATCATGTAGCAACTCACACTGGAGAGAAGCCTTTCATGTGCCATCACTGTGGAAAAACTTGCTCAGACAAAGAAAACCTTGAGATTCACATGAGAATTCACACTGAAGAGAAGCCTTTCACCTGCTTCCCTGAGTTTCAGATCTAAAGAAAACGTAACAGTCACATGAGGCATTACACCGAAGAGAAGCCGTTTCCTTATCTTAAAGGGTTAGTTCACCCAAAAATAGTTTTTCACATTAAGACCGGCGTCCTTTTAAATACTCCATGGACTCTCAAGAGTAGGAGAGTGTTGAGTTGCCAAAGTTCAAGTTCTTTTCTTTTATCAATCTTTTGATTCTGAAGTGTGTTGCCCTTTGATTTCACTGTAAATACTTTAAATGTTATTTCATCACAGAGGCAGCAGGGATTGGGCGCCTTTTTGCTTCAAATTGTAAATACCTTTTTCCCGTGTTTGGTATAGCCAGGAAATCAGGGAAGTCCACTGAAATGTATTTTCTTTACTTTTCACCTAGGTCAGGTATTGGTTGTATCATCTTTTGTTTGTTGTTTTGGCTTTGCCCAATCTTGAAGAGTTTGCTTCATATTGAGTGGTGTAACAGAAAAAACATAGAAACGGTAAAAGCGCACAGTACTCTTATTTGTTAGCTCCCTGACCCTAGACCAATGTTTTATTTAGCATATGCTTTTATTAAAGGCAACTTACTTAAAGGTGGGGTAAGCGATTTTTCAAAAACGCTTTAGAAAACTGATTCGGGCCGAGTAGCAAAACAAACTTGTAGCCAATCTGAATCACACGTGAACTCTGACGTAAGTTAATTTGTGCGCACGGATCTGCGCTCGTTTCTACGTTAGATTGATAAATGAGGCCCATTGTCTCCTGCTGTGGAGAACACCCTTTCACTAGGAACTGAAGTGGCTGGCACAGCAAGGTAGCGTCTTGCCATCTTCGCAGTGTGAGGGTATTTATACTCATTGCTTTTACACCATGCCAGTGGATCACCACCATCCATTGGCATGCTGCTTGCTACCCTGTAGGATGCCACCTCCTCTTTGCTGGTGTTGGCAAAAGTCTTGTCTGTGTCTGACTCCTTCACAAAGGTGTCCCCAAAAAGCTCCTCCATTGCTGACTTCTTTTGTGGAGGAGATGCCTCTGGCTCTGTGTCTGCTCCAGTGGGTGTTGGCTCTGTGGCTTGACCCTGCAGGAAAAAAATGACTGATTAATTTAACTATATTTCTTTTCATATTTCATAATCAATAACATTTGCCAATATTATTCAAAATTAAAATGGATGATTCTCATAACAATACCATAGACTAGACTGCAGTATTATTAAAAGTAATGCACACTTCATTTATTGTTATTATTACCTCTTCAGCGGCCACAGTCTCAATGGTGAGATCACTGTATGTCCTCTCGCGTAGTGCAGGTTCTAGGTAAGTCAGGGACTTGAACCTTGCATCAAGTGCAGTAGATCTATGAAGATAATCTTGTATATCTGGGGGGTTGGTGTATCTGGAGTTCAGGTCCTCTCTAATGGCACCCTTGACCTCTCTAGTACTGGTGCTGTCTGCCTCATTTGCAGCCATGGATTGCAGAATCCTGGTTTTCAGAGGTAGGATCATGGACACAGATGGTGCATTTTCAGTGCTTAAGAGGGTTGGGACTGTTTTGAGAGGTTTGAGCACCTGGAGGACCTCTTCTGCCACTTTCACATCATCATCAGACAAGGTGACAATGCCTCTGATATTTTTTTTTCAGTGTCTTCTCTGTCAGTGCAGAGTATACAGATGCCTGCTGCTCAAGATAGCGGTCCAACATGTCATAAGTGGAATTCCATCTTGTTGTGACATGTATGAGCTTGTGGGCTGGTAGCTGTAGCATTTCTTGCTTGGGCTTAAGCACATGAGCTGCTGTTGTGCTTCTGTGGAAGAAGGAAACCACCTTCCTGATCCTCCCAAGAATGCGGTCCATCTGATTCACAGAGATTCCCCTTTGGGATGCTATAAAATCACAGATCAACTACGATCCGTTTAACCACTAGTGTTCACTACTCACTACTCAGTGAATTAGACCCACTGTCTAATATACATTTACAAGCATAAAAAGCAGAGGACCTAATACTGAGCCCTGTGGCACTCCATACTTGTGTTTAGCTGCATTTCCATTACAGATTTGCGCAAAACATTTGCAATATTTTATAAATGTCGATAAACATCCTATTGACAACGTTTCCATTAACCGATGTAATGCGCCTAAAATGTAAACTGTTCCTCTCGTGATAAATCATGCCGACGTTTGTTGGTAGGTTTATGTATATCACAGCCACCGCACTAGCCATTATTTTTAATCAAAGGAGATGTAGGCGTGTATCTTAAGCGAAGAAGCGCAGAGAGCCGCTCCACAAGCATTGACTAGAGTGGCTCCGGTGGCCGTGTCTAAGCCGTCATGCACCGCAGATGAGTGCTGTGTAAATAAGTGGTTATCTAAGCAATAATTGCAAGAAAAGCCCATTATACTTGAGAGCAGCCATGTATGAGGTGTTTCTTGGAGGTTATAGTACATTAAAGAATGATCACATGACTTTTACGTACGCCAAGTGACCTGTAAATGCCCAAAAAAACCTGTTAAGGCAAAATATTCCTTCAAATTGCCTGAAAAACCACCTCATGCGAGCGTATAAAAATTTAGCGATATGAGTTTTTGCATAATTGACACATTTCCATTGGGCGTATTTTCAATTAGCAATTTCAATTTGCGCAATTTGAAGGGAGAAGCAGCTTGTGATGAGATGTCTCTTTATGTAGAAGCGGTCATGTATATGAGACATTAACTAATTCTTGTCCACAAATACCAAAATAATTCTCAAGTTATCCGAGAGAATGTATTGGCCTGTGTTGTCATAAGATCTAATAGCACCTGAAGAAATGACCATGATTATATGTGTAAAAAAAGAGGTAATTTGTACCTTTTAATAAGCACAGTTTCTGTACTACAATAGGGCTTAAATACTGACTGAAATTGTTCACAAATACAGTTTCTCTGCAAAACCGAACATAGCTGAGAGGACAATACTTTTCTAATATTTTAGATATAAATGGCAAATAAGGGGTTTGATAACTTCCAGCTTGAAAAGTATTTGAGACATTACAACACCTCTTTCAGTAGCTTGGTTGGTGGTATCTAGCATACATGTTGTTGGTTTTTGATGCTTTAAATGTCTTAAATGTATTGATGTCTGTTGCTTTGTGGCATTAAAATGGGCTTAACCTGAATTGGTCTCTTTTTGCTTTAGACTTGATGCATAAAGAGGAGAGTCAAGAACAGAATGAAATGGAAGACAAAGATCAGTATGAGAAACATCATGATTTAACTAGAGAAAACTTAAGTTGCTCACAGACTAAGAAGACTTCTTCACGAAAAAGAGCTAAAAAGACAGGAGCTATAAGGTATTTCACCTGCCAACAGTGTGGAAAGAGTTTAACAGGGAAAAGAAACCTTGAAGTTCATAATAGAATTCACACTGGAGAAAAGCCTTACACCTGTCAACAATGTGGAATTAGTTTCACTCAAAAAGGAATCCTTGAAAGGCACATTAGAATTCACACTGGAGAGAAGCCTTACACCTGCCAAGAGTGCGGAAAGAGTTTCACACACAAACAAGCTCTTAATGCCCACATAAGAATTCACACCGGAGAGAAGCCGTTCATATGCCCTCAGTGTGGAAAGAGTTTCTATCAACAAGGAGAACTCAAAGTCCACATGAGGATTCACACTGGAGAGAGCCATTTCACCTGCAAACAATGTGGAAAGAGTTTTACTAGAAAAGGAAACCTTGAAGTCCACATGAAAATTCACACAGGAGAGAAACTTTTTACCTGCCAACAGTGTGGAAAGAGTTTCACTCAAAATGGAAACCTCAAAGCCCACATGAGGATTCACTTAAGAGAGAACAGTTTTATATGTCATGAGTGTGGAATGAGTTTCACCGACCGGAAACAGTATAAGAATCATGTAGCAACTCACACTGGAGAGAAGCCTTTCATGTGCCATCACTGTGGAAAAACTTGCTCAGACAAAGAAAACCTTGAGATTCACATGAGAATTCACACTGAAGAGAAGCCTTTCACCTGCTTCCCTGAGTTTCAGATCTAAAGAAAACGTAACAGTCACATGAGGCATTACACCGAAGAGAAGCCGTTTCCTTATCTTAAAGGGTTAGTTCACCCAAAAATAGTTTTCCACCTTAAGACCGGCACCCTTTTAAATACTCCATGGACTCTCAAGAGTAGGAGAGTGTTGAGTTGCCAAAGTTCAAGTTCTTTTCTTTTATCAATCTTTTGATTTTGAAGTGTGTTGCCCTTTGATTTCACTGTAAATACTTTAAATGTTATTTCATCACAGAGGCAGCAGGGATTGGGCGCCTTTTTGCTTCAAATTGTAAATACTAGGGATGCACCGATACTGGTCTCCTGTACTCGTACTCGTTAAAATGCCCCGATACCAAACGCCGATACCACACAGCATGACTGTAAATACTTTAAATGTTATTTCATCACAGAAGCAGCAGGGATTGGGCGCCTTTTTGCTTCAAATTGTAAATACCTTTTTCCCGTGTTTGGTATAGCCAGGAAATCAGGGAAGTCCACTGAAATGTATTTTCTTTACTTTTCACCTAGGTCAGGTATTGGTTGTATCATCTTTTGTTTGTTGTTTTGGCTTTGCCCAATCTTGAAGAGTTTGCTTCATATTGAGTGGTGTAACAGAAAAAACATAGAAACGGTAAAAGCGCACAGTACTCTTATTTGTTAGCTCCCTGACCCTAGACCAATGTTTTATTTAGCATATGCTTTTATTAAAGGCAACTTACTTAAAGGTGGGGTAAGCGATTTTTCAAAAACGCTTTAGAAAACTGATTCGGGCCGAGTAGCAAAACAAACTTGTAGCCAATC